TGAAAGTTTCATTTCTGATGGGGGACTTTAAATCTCCATGTCAGCAACGACAATGGGATCTGGAGGGGAGTGATGAGAGGAACAGCCTTTCTGATCTGAACTCGAGTGGTGTTCTGTTGTTGGACTTCTGTGCTAGTCATGGTTTGTCCATCACAAACATCATGTTCGAACATAAGGGTGTCCATGTCCAATAGTGCACTTGACACCAGGAAGCCCTAGGTCGTAGATTGATGATTGATTTTGTAGCTATGTTATCAGATTTGCAGCCATTTGTTTTTCTACCAATCCAGTGGCATTGTTCCCGATGTCCTTGTAATGTTGCAATGGCGTGTCAACCAAGACAGCCCCACAACATCCAGAGCTTTAAGGAAACAAGGGCGGATCTCTTCCACCACAAAGCCCTGCCACTTCGGAGCTTTGTAATTACCTCGGCGACCTTAGCCATGTTTAAGGAATGACCAACCCCAAAGTTCCTATTTACTCAGCTTCCTCCATGGAAGACATGCGAGTGGGATTGAGACCGTCTGAGAATTATTTATTCCACCTCCCGACAACATCACTGGTTGAGGTCAACAGCACCCCACCTTCACTGAACCCAGTGTTAGTTAAGTGCTGCTTTCCCCTCCTTAGCCGCCTGATGGTTTGCCAGAATCTCCTTGGACTGAGAGTCTCCTTTCAAGGCCTCACCAAACTTCTCCCGCATCTGAGCTTTTGCCTCTGTAACAGCTAAGGCTGCAGACCACAGACCAGGTGTCCACCACTGAGTTCAAGAATGGCCACTGCGAGAAGCACTGACAATTTTGTGGCCCCAGCTCAAGGCAGCCACCTCAACAACTGAGGTGCAGAACATAGCCCGCTCAGACTCAATGTCCCCCGCCTCAGCTGGGTTGTGGTTAAAGCTCTCCTGGAGGTGTGAATTGAAGATCTTTCTGATGAGTTCTTCTGCCAGACATTTCCATCAAATCCTCACTATGTTTGGGTCTTCCGGGTCTGTCCGGCATCTTCCCATGCCATCTGATCCACCTCACTACCAGGTGGTGATCAATTGACAAGCTCAGCTCCTCTCTTCACCCAAGTGACTGGGGTGGCTGTTCCCCCTCTTCAAAATGGAGGACCGGAGTATGTGCTCCAATTACAGGGGCATCATTCTCTTTAGCCTCCATAGTAAGTTCTATTCAGGGGTACTGGAGGTGAGTCTGTACATTGGTCAAACTTCAGATCCAGGAGGAACAACGTAGGTTCCATTCTGGCTGTGGAACACTGGATCAGCTCCTTATTCCTCACTAGGGTCCTCAATGGTTCACAGGAGTTTGCCAATCCAGTTTACATGTGTTTTGTGGACTTAGAGAAGGTGTTCAACTGTGTTCCTTGGAGTACACTGTAAGGGAGGCTCCATGAATATGGGATTGGGAGCATGTTGATATGGGCTGTTCGATCCCTAAAAAAACAGTGAAGAAGTTTGGTTTGCATTGTTGATCGTACCCATTGTCACTGATTCTGTTCATAACTTTTATGGACAGAATTTCTCGGTGCAGTAAGGGGTGGAGGGAGTCCATTTCTGTGGACTCAGGATTCCTTCTCTTCTATTTGCAGATGATGTGGTCCTGTTGATGCCATTGTGTCATGATCTTCAGTTCTCACTGGAGCAGATCACAGTGAAGCAGCTGGGATGAGAATCAGCACCTCCAAATCTAAGGCCATGGTCCTCAGTCAGAAAAGGGTGGATTGATCTCTTTGGGTCGAGGGCAAAATTCTGCCTCAAGTGGAGGGGTTCAAGTGTCTTGGGGTTTTGTTCACTAGTGAGGGAAGAATGGAGCATGAAATTAACAGATGGATTAATACAGTGTCTGCAATATTGCGGACTCTGTGCCAGTCCGTTGTGGTGAAGAGAGAGCTCAACTGTAAGACAATGATCTCTATTTACCAGTCAGTCTACTTTCCTACCCTCAGCTATGGTCATGAACAAAAGAACGAGATCGCAGATACAGGCAGATTAATTGAGCTTCCTCCTCAGGGTAGCTGGACTCTTCCTTAGAGATAGGGTGAGAAGTTCTGTTATCTGGGCAGGACTCAGTGTAGAACCGCTGCTCCTCCACATCGAAAGGAGCCAGTTGTAGTGGTTCAGGCATCTGGTAATGATGCTTCCTTGGCGCCTCCCTAAGGAGGTGCTTCGGTCATGTCCAACTGGGAGGAGACCCCATGAAAGACCCAGGACACGCTGGAGAGATTGTGTCTCTCAGTTGACTTAGGAATGCGTTGGAGTCCTTCCAGAAGAGCTGGAAGAGGTGTCTGTGGAAAGAGATGTCTGGGCTTCTCCGCTCAAGCTGCCGCCCCCACGACCTAACTTCGGAACAAGTGGAAGATAATGGATGGATGGATGGATGGATGGATGGATGGATAGATGTATGTATGTATGTATGTATGTATGTATGTATGTATGTATGTATGTATGTATGTATGTATGTATGTATGTATGTATGTATGTATGTATGTATGTATG